GAGTTGGAGGTTGCTGTGAGCAGTGAAGCCATAGCACTCTACCCAGGGGGACAGCTTGAGGCTCTGTCTCAAAAAAAAAAAAAAAAAAAAAACTCAATAAAGTCTGGAGTTTAATAAATAGTAATGTAACAACACTGGCTTCTTAGCCTTGTCAACGTATAATGGTAATGCAAGATGTTAAAACTGGGGAAACTGTGTGAAGGTAGAAAGGAACTTTCAGTATTATTTCTGCAACTTTTTCATAAATCTAAAATTATTCTAAAATAAGAGTTTATTAAAAAGAAAAAGCAAAGAATCCTGCTTACAATTTTAGAAGCATGATGACTGGATAGCTTCCCCTAGATTAGCTTCTGGCTCAGCACATTTCAAACCTGCTGTCTCCTCCACTAGCCACATACTTCTAGTGCCAGGTACCAAAGGACACTTGGACAGGCTCCTGTATCACAGCACTGAGATGGCACAGAGCATGGCTTTCTAGAAGCCATTTCAGCACCTGGAGAGCCAACAGTAAAGTGTTTAATTTATCACAGAATTCAGCTTTCTTTGCCCCACCCAGATTCCAAAAACATTCAGGGCTACTCCAGGGCTCCTAGTATAAAAGGAAGTTGGAAGGCGGAAGCTGAAAAGGTAAAACCAATCCCTGTTTGTGGGGTTTCTTTAAGACACATTTATTTGTTTGTTTGTTTGTTTATTTATTTTGAGACAGAGTCTCACTATGTCACCCTCAGTAGAATGTTGTAGCATCACAGCTCATAGCAACCTCAAACTCTTGGGCTTAAGCGATTCTCTTGCTTCAGCGTCCCAAGTAACTGGGACCACAGGTGCCCACCACAATGCTCAGCAATTTTTTCTGTTGCAGCTATGGTTGTTTTAGCTGGCCCAGGCAGGGTTTGAACCCTCTAGCCTGGTATACGAGGCCAGTGCCCTACCCACAGAGCTCCAGGCGCCGCCTTTATGACACTTTTAAAAAGTAGAAAACAATATACCACCACATGAACTCAGTGCCAGGGTTCCCCCATGGACCTTGGAAAGGAGTTGCATAAGTCAGGGGTCCTGAAACTCAAGCTCCTTTAACTCAGTGGTTAAAGGATCCACCCCAGAAAGATCACAGAAGAAGAAATAAAAGACTTTGCCAGAGTGTCCTAGAATAGTCAACTATTTAGAAAGCATGTACCGCCACCCCTTCAGCACCAAAGCTCCAGCTCAGGGGTGAGAAACCTGTGGCCTTAAGGTCACAAATGACTGATACCCATTTAGAGGTCAACTGAAACTGCGGACCTCCATGCTGCAACCCAATATTAAAATGCTTTCCAACAAAAAGAACAAACCTATTAAAAGACTAGTTAACTTTAAAATTAGCAAAGAGGGCAGCGCCTGTGGCTCAGTGAGTAGGGCGAGGGCCCCATATACCGAGGGTGATGGGTTTGAACCCGCCCCGGCCAAACTGCAACAAAAAAAATAGCTGGGCATTGTGGCGGGCGCCTGTAGTCCCCAGCTACCTGGGAGACTGAAGCAAGAGAATTGCCTAAGCCCAAGAGCTGGAGGTTGCTGTGAGCTGTGATGTCACCGCACTCTACCAAGGGCGACAAAGTGAGACTCTGTCTCTAAAAAATAAAATAAATGGAACAAAATAAAATTAATAAATAGTTTTCATTTTTGGAAATAAGTACACAGTTGTTAGATTTTTACAAAATAATGTATATTTTAAAGTGTACCTACTTGAAGTAACTTGAATGCAGCCTTATTTGATTACAGCTAAATCAATTCGGTCTTCCAACATGAAAAGGTTCCCTATCCCTGCTCTAGCTCTTTCATCAAGCCTGAGGCCAACCATTCACTTCTCAGGAAAAGTTCCCTGAGACACCCCATAGGCTCCTCAGCTCCCATCTTGATTCCATTATAGTATTTGTTCACATGCGTTAAGTTTATGTATTTATCTCGCTGTCACCCTACAGATTCACTTAGGGCGTGGTTCAAGGCTCTTTAAAATCTTTGTACTGTCATAGTGGGTCCCCAACATGCCCTTGTTGAGTAAATTAATGCACTTGCTGAAACAGGTAAGCCGTCACCAGGAAGTGACTTCGGCCACCCAGGGCAAGAACATCAGAGCTTGGGTGCCAGCCCAGAGGACTTCGGGGATCAATTGCAAGGGAAGGTAAGGAAAAACCAATCTCTAACCGTCTCTGGAAAGGTTATATCGAAATACTTACGGTTTCTTCACCCCACAGATTAATCTTTTATCACGCCCACACACTTTACAATGCTGAATATAGTTAATGATAAATGTAATGATCATTATTTTCATGACAGAATTATTTGAAATCCAGAGTGTCCTACAATATTTAGAAAGCATGTGCCTGGATGAATCAGACTAAACAGACTTTGGAATTGAAGACCATGAAGTAGAAACCTTATCCATCGGGCACTCGGCACACTCCGCAACCCTACCCCTGCCTAAGAGAAACACACCCGGATGTGAGGTCTGTATAAGCAGGTTGGCCGGGTGAACGCAAGTTCCTACCGCATGGGAAGAAACGGGCTCAACGTGTTAGGTTAACAAGGGTTTAAGACTCACACTGACAAAAAAAAAAAAAAAAAAAAGACTCACACTGACGGCTACATTAGAAACGTGGGGCTTCCTAAACACCTAGAGCACATAGTTCACAAAAGTACGTCCCTGCGCAGAAGAGCGATAGCACTAAGCCAAGCGCTAGCTGAAGCACATGCCCCGCCCACAACCCCGCGCGTGCGCACACTGAAAGGGCTAAGCTGCTGCGGCCCTGTGGCGCGGTCGCCTAGCCTTTCGCCCCCGGCTCCCTGTGCCCGCCTCCAAGGGGAGGCAACAGCTGATTGGTCAGCTTGGCTCTCGTTCGGGGAGGGAATTGACTGATTGACAGCAACGCCCTGGGACGGCGAAGCTGGAAGCCTGAGTAGTAAGAGAGGTGCTGGCTGCCGCGCGGCGGAGGTGAGTGGCGCTCCGGGCTCGGAAAAAGCGGTTGGCGAGGGGGGACAAGGAGGCGGCTCCGGACCTGAAGGCGGGGGGACGCCTTGGTAATACTCAGGGCGGGAGCTAAAGGAGCCCAGGTTGAGATTACCAGCGATACGGCGGGCTCTGTGAGCCGGCTGGGTGTTTGCCGAGTGGCCGGCTTGAGGATACATTCCCGGGCAGCTGGCGGGGCCAAGGCCCTCGCGTGTCCGGGGTTTGGCGGAGCGGAGGGTGGCCGGCCGACTCGGCCTGAGCGCTGCGGCTCGCTCGTCCCCAGTCTACGCCTCTTCCCTTCCCCCGCCTTTCATTGCGATTTCGGAGTCCCGGGTTCCCGCGCCGGCTGCCGGCGGCGGCGGTTCCTTGGGTGGAGCGCCCTCTCCCCGAGACTCTGGGAGCCGCGCTCCGCGGGTGCGCTCCAGCCGGGCCTGGCGGACTCCGGGACGGGGAGCGCGCTCCGTGGTCGTCCCGGGAATTTAATCAGCTTCACCTGCGTTGTGTTGCTGTGTCGCTTTTCGCCGTGCCAGAGTACGTTCCTGACCATGACCAGGGCTTGCGTGAAGCCCCAAAGTTGGTCTTTGAGCATTTAAAAAATATTATGGAAATTCAAACTATGGAGAAGTTGAGCGAGTTGGATAAAGAACTCGGTGTCTCATCACCCACTTCCAGTAATTGTCTGTACAGGACCATTCCTGCTCCTTTTCACCGGGTTATAAAATCCCAGACAGTCATTTCATGTCTTTTGCATATGTCTGTGCTTCTGTCATGATCAATAAGGCTTCCCTTCTAGTCATTAGTTTTCTAGAGGGGGTTAACTAAGGCGCACATTAAAATGTAGACGGCGCTAATTCGTACTGCTTCTTTAAGAATTGGGGTAGCTCTCCCTCAGTGCGGTCTCATTACCCGGTGGCTCAGGTTTTCAAAACCAAAGATACTAAATAATCTAGGCAGTAGTGTTTTTTGCTTTTAAGCAGTACTAATTGTATTGATAATTTCTATTTAGAGAGTTCTTCGTACGTATGAAGCACTGTACACCTATTCATTTTTTTAAAAGCACCTATTCAGTTTTAACAGCTGTATGAAGTAGCCATTATCCTCGTTTGTGTGTGTGTCTGTGGGTGTGGGGCTCTGTCTCTCTGCCTGTCTGTCTCTCTCTTTCTCTTACTCAGGCTAGAGTGCGGTGGAGTTATCATAACGTACTACGAAACTTCAAACTCCTGGGCTTAAGTGATCCTCCTGCCTCAGTTTCCTGAGTAGTTGGGACTACAGTTGCACTCCCACCACTCCGGACTAATTTTTCTATTTTTCGTAAAGATGGGGTTTTTGCTACTTTGCTGTGGCTTTTCAGCCTCCCAAAACTTGAGGATTACAGGCATGAGCCACTGCATAAAGCTAGTATTATCTGCATTTTACAGTTGAAGGAAAAGGAAATTTAGAGAAGTCATAATTTGCCTAAGGTCATACTGCTTGAAAGGGTGGGTGATGTAAGGATGCTAATTTTGATCATTGTCATTGCAAAGTTTTGGCTCTTTTAACTACAGTTGACTGTCCCAGGAGTTGTGGAATGAATGGAACTGCAGGGGAAAATTATGTCTGTTGGGTTACAAATTCCTAAGGGTGGGGGAATTCTGGAAATTTACATGGGTGCAAAACAAGGGTAAGAGAGGTTTGTTTGGTTCCTTGAAACAGTGAAAGATTAGTACAACTAGATTTGAAGTTTTGTTTTTTTTTTTTTTTGAGACAGAGCCTCAAGCTGTCCCCCTGGGTAGAGTGCCATGGCTTCACTGCTCACAGCAACCTCCAACTCCTGGGCTCAAGCGAGTCTACTGCCTCAGCCTCCCAAGTACCTGGGACCACAGGCGCCCGCCACAACGCCCGGCTATTTTTTGGTTGCAGCCATCATTGTTGTTTGGCAGGCCCGGGCTGGATTCGAACCCGCCGCCTTAGGTGTATGTGGCTGGGGCCTTAGCCGCTTGAGCCACAGGCGCTGAGCCGGTCTTTTGCATCATTATTTGGCCTAAAATGTGGACTGTCATTTAGGATACACAGGTATCGTTTACCTAGGCTCTTTGTATGCTGGGAATAGTAAACATTATTATAATGATGATTTAGCAAGCCAAATAACACAATGTTCTGTTAATCTTCTTTGAAATTTTCTCCAACTGAAAATTTCTTCTTTCTCATAAATGGCCATTTCTTCAAATGGCCATTTCTTCAAAATGGCTATTTTTTGGTTGCAGCCGTCATTGTTGTTTGGCAGGTCCGGGCTGGGGATTCGAACCCGCCACCTTAGGTGTACGTGGCTGGCGCCTTAGCCAGTTGAGCTATAGGCGCCGAGCCTAGATTTGAAGTTTTGAGCAAAGTATATATAGTTCAACAAATATGTGTTATTTATTTATTTATTTATTTTTAGGGACACGGTCTAGCTCTGTGGTCCAGATTGGGGTGTAGTGGTTCATAGCTCACTGCAAACTCAAATTCCCAGGCTCAAGCTATCCTCCCTCCTCACCCTCCTTAATAGCTGGGGCCACGTGTATGTACCACCATGGCTGGCTAATTTATTATAATTTAAACATTTTTTTTTTTTTGTAGAGATGGGAGTCTTGCCTTGTTACCCAGGCTGGGCTTAAACTCCAGCCTCAAGCAGTCTTTTCACCTTGGCCCCCCAAATGTGAGCCACCACATCCCTCCTATTTTTATTCTTTAATATATGGCTAGTTAAAGGGAAGAAGTAAAAGGGAAAATACAGTACATTAATGGCTAGTCTCCACTTCTTTACCACAGAGCGTCTACTTGATGTTTATATCATTTTTGTCTCTATACATCATCATCTCAAGCTTAAACTACTTCTAAGATAGTGTCTTCATTCACTTAGTGTTAGATGAATCAGGAACTAGAATGGAGACAGACAGGCTTATTCAGAGCACAGTGAAGAAGGCCTATTAAATTGGGGCTTTGGATTCTTACTGCATAGGAGTAATTCAGAAGTCCAGAAGTAAGGTCAGACTCGTTTTTGAAGGAAATGAGTGCCACATCTAAGGAGTTTGAACTTAATGAGCAAAGAAGCATCATGCTCAAATTAACCTTACAGGATGATAGTGAGTTGGCACTGTCAAAGATGGCTTCACCAAAGATTGAAAAGATTAGTACACTGACCTGATGAATATAAAGGTAATAGGTATGGGGAACTGGTGAATTTATAGATATAAGGACTGGACAAAGAAAATAGCTTGGGGGAGAGGGGTAAAAGAAAAGCAGGTGTACAATAGGTCTGAAGTGCTGGTATACTTCAGTTTCCTTGAGTTTGTTTTCTTTCTTTCTTTCTATTTATTTATTTAGAGGCAGAGTCTCACTCTATTGCCATGACTGGAGTTCCTTGGTGTCATAGCTCACAGCAGCGTCAAACTCCTGGGCTCGAGTGATCTTCTTGCCTCAGCTTCCAGCCTCCTGAGTAGCTGGGACTACAGGCACCCACCACAATTCCAAGCTAGTTTTTAGTGGAGAACTCCTGCACTCAAGTAATCCACCCACCTTGGCCTCCCAGAGTACTAGTATTATGGGTGTGCATGCCACCCATGAATTTGTTTTCTTGGTCTGTCTTGTACTGAGCATTACTGCATCACTCTTCTTTGAAATGTTAATGACTCAGCTACTCAACTATTCTCTTATATTTTTATTAGGTACTTGTTGATAGAAATGACATAGTATAGATAAGTAACAAAGTGTGAGACCACAATCCCACCATTTAATGAAAACCACTGATGATGCTTTGATGGGGGAAAATGGCATTAGTTTTAGTTAACAGTTGATTACTGGTGCTTCACATTTTGTTGTCCATTTGTGTTTCCACTTGTAAATTGCCTATTCAGGCCCTATGCCTTTTTTTCCATTGGGCTTTTGATCTTTTGTTTCTTGTTTTGCTGGCACTTTATATTCCTTAGGGATACAAATCATTTGTTATATTAAGTTGTAAGTATGTTTCTCAATTACATGTTGGTTCTTTCCTCTTAAAAGCTAGAGAGTGACTAGTAAAGTGAAATTCATGTATCAGCTGGAAGAATATTCAGGGCTGCTGTTTTAAGGACCAGAACAGGGCCACTTCTGAAATAGTTCCTTAATTTGCAATTGGCAGCCAGCCAATCTGCAAGTCAATATTGCCAAACAAATTGTATTGTATAAATATTTGATATCATTTAACAGATTAATGTACATAGCTATATCTGATTAGTGTGAGTTGGTTGTAAAAATGCAAAAAGTTAGACCAATAGGAAACTTAAATTAAGTCTCTATGATAGCTAAAACATGTTATAGGGCACTATTTTGTATATAAATATGTCAATATGTAAAGCAGTATAAATAAGATTTATTTATTTATTATTATTATTTTTTTTGAGACAGAGCCTCAAGCTATCCCCCTGGGTAGAGTGCTGTGGCATCACAGCTCACAGCAACCTTCAACTCCTGGGCTCAAGCAAGTCTTCTGCCTCTGCCTCCCAAGTAGCTGGGACTACAGGTGCCCGCCACAACGCCCGGCTATTTTTTGGTTGCAGCTGTCACTGTTGTTTTGGCGGGCCAGGGCTGGATTTGAACCCGCCACCTTAGGTGTATGTGGCTGGCACCTTAGCCACTTGAGCCACAGGTGCCAAGCCTATTTATTTATTTATTTATTTGCAGTTTTTGGCCAGGGCTGGGTTTGAAACCACCACCTCCAGCATATAGGGCCAGCGCCCTACTCCTTTGAGCCACCCAATTTATTTTTATTTTTATTTTTTTTTAAATTTATTATTATTTTGTTGTTGCAGTTTTTGGCCAGGGCTAGGTTTGAACCCACCACATATGGGGCCAGCACCCTACTCCTTGAACCAAAGGCGCAGCCCCGATTTATTTTTATTTTTGAGACCATCTCATTCTGTTGCCCCAGGCTAGAATGCCATGGCACCATCCTAGCTTATAGCAGCCTTAAACTCCTGGTTCAAACAATC